CAAGGAAAAGCAACATTCATCCCAAGGAAAGTCAGTGAAGAATTCTCGCAAGGATTGCCAGCTTGCCCTCCGTATATTTGTACAGTACGGTATACTGTACTGGTTAACAATCTGTACGAGAAGTGAGATGGACATGAAGAGACTCTAAGATCTATGTTTTAATACTGTATGTGACTTGAGGCCTTCTGGGGTAAGATACTGTGACATACTATACTCTTCTTTGATCTTGGGGAGTTTCAGAAGAGGAGCAATGGCTCACTTCTACACTCACTGCACATTTGTGTCGAAGATGTCACTTGTCTGCTGACCAATGTCTTTAATGGGCTGAAGAGGAAGGATATCACTTTTAACTTACACACTGAGGGAAGGAATGAACGAAATGATCTTGTCCTTATACAAACTTCAAAACAATTTCTCATATTTTGTTGTGCAGTTTCCTTAAATTTCAATGAAGATGTAGGTGTGGCCTCAGACATCTTGCAAATAACCCTCAATAAACACATTCATAATTCAAGGTTTAATTTCTTTCACAAGGTTAATCGTAAAAAGTATCACCAAAGAACAGTGACTTAATGGGGATTTTTCTTTATTACTCGACCGGTCTTAATGACACCCAGAATAAAGGTACCAGTTATAGCTCTGGAAATAAACCAAGAGAAACAACCTCTTAGAATTGTTTATTTATTCCTATAACCCAGCACAATGGGCCATGATGCCCATTTCATAAAGCTCATATTTTAGTTTTTTACTCAATTTCTTACACTGGAGTTGTATCACTTGTAAATCTCCCTCGCCATCAACCAAAGACAAAGATCTACAGGTACACTCTGTTATGATCAACATGCAGACACAAACTGCATATTGATGGGACAATGATTTTACAGCAGTTTACCCTCTGGAATATATTTGATTCTGGAGGAAAACTTTAATAGCACAGGTACTGTAGTATTTTACTTCTATACATAATAAAAGGGATTAACAATAGCAAACAATTTATCATGACATCAGTGAACCATTAGATGGCAATACATTTGCAAATAAAAGGCAACAAAGAGCTATACAGCCTCTGAATAAAGTTGAATACTGTACTGAACTGTACCTGCCTTAATAAATAGTGTACAATACAGTACAGTAGTTGTAATACCAATCCAGTATTGCCAGTGAGAAGGATGAAACCTTGTCCACAGTGATGAATGACCAACCTGTGCTACACTGAGTCATTCTGTACTCTCAATACTGTAGTCACTATTTACATACACCAAAACACAAAAATAGGAGTTCCTTATCTTTATCAGGAGTTAACAAGAAATCTTGAATATAATGATCATATCCTTGAGGAATTAATAGAGTGAATCAATAACAGTACAATGTTTTTAAAGTCAAAAGAAAGAACCAATAACTGCTGGTCAACACACAGTCCTGAGCACTGAGTTACACTGACCAGTACATCATTTTTCTCACATTTCTAATGATAAACTACACAGTCGTCAGGAGTTTGCTTCAGTCTTCACTTCCAAAGGATCACTTTCTATTTGTATTGAATTTGTATAATATTCTACCATATCATCTTCAGTCTTCACAAAACACAAATGTTCTGAAGGGGACACAGCTGAATACTCTATACTGTCATGTTCTGTTTTGACTGAACCAACACAGTCTGGAGGAGGTTCTGAATATACATCAGTACTTTTCTGTATTTCTTTAGGTTTTATGATATATTTCTTCCGAGTTCTATCGACGGTGGCGGTGGCTTGACACGGTGATGTCGGCCCAGAACTTCCAGCCAAGTTAACAATACCATGCTTAATCAGATGTTCATCTAATTCACACTTTTCCACAAAAGTTTTCCCACATATATTACATCCAAAAGGTCTGTCATGAAAATGATACAGTCGCTTATGATTAGTTAACTTTGACTTCTGATAAAAGTTTTCTCCACATTCCAAACATTTGAATGGCCTGTCTCCTGTGTGTATTCGCATGTGTAAAATTAAGGTTGACTTCAGAGAGTATGATTTCCCACACTGATTACAGATATATGGTTTATGACCAGAGTGTAGGTTCATGTGTTCAGTTAACGATGATTTCTGGGTAAAGGTTTTCTTACACAAACTGCACTTCAAGGGTTTCTCTCGAACGTGTGTCCTCATATGAAGCTGGAGACTTGATCGACAGGAACAAGTTCTGCCACAAATATCACATTTGTTCAGTACATTAACATTCAGTGTATTGGTGTGGTCAACATCACTAAATGTCTCGTTTTTGTCATTCTCACTTGTAGGAGTCTTGTTGTCCCCAGTTGGACGGGCAGTTCCACACTCTCCTACATGACTTTTCCCACACTCCTTACAAGTGAAGGATCCATCACACAAATGATGTTGCCGATGATGATCAGTTAACTTAAACTTTTGATAAAAAGATTCTCCACACACTGCACACTTGAATGGCTTTTCACCAGTGTGTAGACTATTATGCAGGAATATTGCTGACTTCGTAGAAAAAGACTTTCCACACTCATTACATTTAAAAGGCTTATTGCTGGAATGTACAACTATGTGTTTACTTAAAGACGACTTTCTAGGAAATGTTTTCCCACATTCACAACAACTGTAGGGTCTATCAGGAGTATGTACTTTCATGTGCTGCATTAAGTTTGACCTGCGAGAAAATGTTTTGCCACATTCACAACAGTTGTAGGGTCTATCAGGAGTATGTACTTTCATGTGCTGCATTAAGTTTGACCTGTGAGAAAATGTTTTGCCACAAGCATTACAAGGGTGTATCAGACGAACACTCACCTGGCAACCCTGACTCGGCTGAATCATTGTATTTTTTACGTTTCCATCAATGTGAGTCTTAGAAGGCTTCTCATCTATGTGTGTCTTCATATGATCAGTTAGATAGGACTGGTAAGCAAAAACTCTTCCACATTCAGTACAAGAACAGTAAGATTTATTGTTTTCCATTTCTTATAATACTGTACTGTACAGTATTTAGGTCAAACTTATATTGAAACTTATAAACCCACAACACCGAGGCTAATTCTTGGTACGGGATACAAATATTAAGTTATGATACACACTGATGAGTCTCAATCCAGACAGTGTACCTGTATCATAATAATGAGGCAGCTTCTCACCCAGGTCTTGTATGAAGCATGGAATAATTTGGAGTCAACTCAAATAAGTCTTTTCATTATTGTTACGTCATCAACTAGTTTTTGCTTTATTCAAATTAAATATTTTTAGATATAAGAAAACCAACCTTGAAAAAAATAATTACTGTACTCAACTCAACTTACAGTATGTATGAAAATAAATTCCCTGAAAATATGTATAAATCTTATTGTTCTAAGTGGACAAGATAAACTTATTGCATAACATCTTTTGAGACCATGCTACTTGGAGAGCTACCAAAGAGTAATCACGGCTAACACACATGAATGAGTTAAGAACAACAGTACAACTCAACACCGACCTTATAATAACAAAAGGTGGAGAGCCATAAAGTATTTCATCCAACTGTTTCTACTGAGTAAATAAACTGAAGTAAATTATCTATTAACAGTTAAAGAAGACTTTGTGTTAGTACCAAACAGTAACTTATAGAATCAATATCTTCTCAAAAGTGTGACCAGTTGCTCAGTGACACCCTTTGTTCTCTGTCCTCTTTCTCCAATGTGTTATTGATGTCTTCAACTCCAGTCTTCACAACCAAGCTGATGGTCTTTCCTCTTGGTCTTAAGTCTCAATAATCTGAAGAGAGATAAAGGACTTATGAAAATATTTTTAACACATTCAATATTATCATACACTTTGTGTTTGGCTTAATCAAGATAATCAATTACTTATTATTTTAAAATATGAAGAACTGAAGAATGAATGAAATCAATTTTATGACCAAGAGCAAGAAAGAAGTGATCAGTGAGGCCCACACCACTAACATGCTACTGTACTGTACTGTACTGTACTGTCACAGGACCTTGAAAGTTGAATAAGATTTGCTATCCAAACAGACAAGGCTGTTTAATATTTTTCTTGTGAGTAGCATATTCTCGCCAAGTTGAACTAAGGTCAAATCATCAATTGAGTCCCATTGGATTCAGTGGTTGACTAAAGGACCAATGAGGCTTCAGGGTAGGGGATGACACCCGGCATAGAGCTCGTGTAATTCACATCCCTGCAGCCTTCTCAATTCCTGTTGGTTACTACATCAATTCCACCAAGGGTGAAGGATGGAGGGAATCCTGGTCAAGTGTTTCATTCCTGCAGTCACAGAACTGTATTTCATATTTGTTTTTAATTTATAACCTACTTTAAGTTATCAGTGACCCCAGGTGAGGTGTTACTATGTATGAGAATGTGTTTACAAAACTTATATGTCATGATTTTACTTTCAGAAGAATTCCTGGAGATTGTATAATGATGAACATTTTCTGCATGAATGAATTATCATTTTAAATTTCCATATGGTAATGGATGAATATAAGGAGACACTTCTCATTATATTTGACTTGTTCAGATAAACTGACCATAAACTCTGAGGGGTCCAGCAGGCAAGTGGATAAAGCACTTGCCTCCTGGTTCAGAACCACGGCACAGTAACCCTAATCTACCCCATAACTGTGAATATGGCAGTTAACTTTAAGTTGGGGAAAGTGAAGGTGGTCAAGTATGCTGCCGGCCACCTTGTGTACCGAGGCTTAATATTCAGTCTGTTAGATTTACACCATTTCTAATGAGCTATTGAGCCTATGGACGAGGTTCTTGCTACTACAGTATTTGTAAAAACTCATTTCCATGATTGTTACAATGAATTCTGTTTCACTTCAGAGCTACAAATGAAGTGATCTGTCCAAGTACAATACTGTATGGCAGCCACTGACCAGCCACCCACTGGAGGTGCTCACAGACAGTCCCTTTCCGTTGACTATCTGAGATAATAAATAACACTAACTAATAGATTTTTTTTTTTACAAAAAACAAACTTATACTGTAGTATTTGCAACAATTTCATATAGACTTTGAACATTCATGTTGAAAGCTGTAACACACTCAGGACAACAGCACTACAGTAAGTTCATTACATTCAATAACCCCGAAACTGTCCATCATGAAACTGCCTTGAACTTAAATGCATACGGACTATTTCCTTTATTAATGAATCAAAACACCGGAGGCACCACACATCTCAATACTCTAAAGTCATCATCATCTAACTTGACTAAACTTGTAGACTCTGAAGGATAAATATCTCCACATTGTATTTGACTATTTTTCTTCCTTGATATTTTTTCTATAAACTGAGGCAGATTCTGAATATTTATCAGTTTTTAATAAATGACCTCATGTTTTTTCTCTTTCAAATTTTTTTAACTGAATGACAACGCTCATCAAAAGAATACTTTTCCAAAAAGATCTTTCCACACTCATTTACAACCAAAGATTCTGTTACATGAATGATGAAGTTGTGTATGAAAGGTCAACCAAGGCTTCTTGAATATGGCTTTATCACAAGGCACACACTTGAATGGTTTGTCACCAGTGTGTGAATCAATAGGTATGACCTGTGTGTGAATGTGTTGCCACAGTCATCACAAATCTTTCAACTAACTCTGCCAACTTTGAGTGGTGATATCGGCCAAACAAGACTGATAACTAAGAACTTTTCCACATTTCTTTACATGGGTTTTCTCACTTTCACTGGAATAAAGTCATTTATAGTTGGTTAACTGTGACTTCTGATAAAGGCTTTTCCATATACAGTACTCAACAACTGTGTGGCCTCTCATCTGTGTGAAGAAGCATATCAACAATAAATACTGATTTTATTGATAACAAATTCCCGCAAGATTGCAGCTAAAAGGTTTATAACCTAAATGTACAGTCAAGGAAAAAACTCCTGTCAGTCCTCCGTCCCATCCATGAACTCTGAGACTCGTGAACCTGTTAATCCGTAAATCACACAGTGCACCATGTATGAACCCAACAACGGGTGGTGTCTCGGATTCACGGGTTCATGAGTCTCAGAGTTCATGGCATGGAGGAATGACAGGACTTTTTTCCATGACTACATTCATGTGTTTGGATAATAATGAGTTTCAAATAAATGCTTTTCCAAACTCACTATGTTTAAATGGTTTATCTGCAGTATGTATTCTCTTAAGCTGCATCAAGCTTGACTCAGAGTAAAAGATGTCGCTAAAATCATTACATTTGTTCAGTACGCGAACATCTGCTTGACAACTCTTGTCTAAATCTATCAACAGAATTTCTTAATTTTCATCAACATGAGGGTTACGAGGCTTCACTTCATTTTGGGTCATTTGGTCCATGAAGTAGGACACACAAGCAAACATTCTCCCACACTCAACACAAGAACAATAAGATTTACTGCTTTCCATTGTTCTCTTATGGCTAATAATTATTTTTCAAACATAAACCGACAACAATATTGAGCGAGATTCAAGGTAGTGCAAGAGATGAAAATAATGCAAGATAAAACTGGACGTAATTAGATATGGTAAAATCAGTTCTGACATTGATTAAGTTCAGAATTGACCCAAAATATTCCCAGAGTTTTTCTGTAATTCTTCTCTTAGCAATGTTGTGTAGCAAGGTGAGCAGCCAGTTCAGTACAGGGAGTTTTTTGGTATAAAACAAATCCAAAAAACTCGTCCTGATAAATTGTCAAAATAATGGAATTTTTTTGTTTCGTATAAAATGTAGTTCAGTGACACAAGACTTAAATAAGCACTAAATATCATACATAATACAATACAGTAAATAAAAAATACAGTAACACATAAATATTGTACAAAAAATAGTTTGGCTTTGTAAACGAAGCATCAGGAATTTAATACAACACAATACAGTAACTCATCTGGGGTTGAGTGTGGGATTTTATATATTTGTGTGGGTGTGTGTGTGGAGGGGGGGGGATTATTATTTTACGATGTGTTATTAACCCAGCAGTAAATGAAAATAAACATCATGGAAATTATGGTGAAATTGCATGCTTTTGTTTTAAGGGGAGCGTGGGACAGGAGGGGGAATTTTCTGCTCAGTCCAACCTTCTCTACCCAAAACATTCCCTTTCCACGCCCCATTTTTCTCATTTTATAGTTTTATACGTACAGTGGGGTATGCTATAACGAACGGATCCTACTACGAATATTTCTACAACGAACGGTTTTACCTATAAAATTGAGAATGCTATAACGAACGCAACTCCTACAACGAACGCAGATGAATACGGGACTATTTCGCCTGGCGCATGAATATTGTTGTACTGCGACCCACAACAAGAGCGTCAGGCGCCATCTTTGTCTCATTGTGTAGCCAGTGCACCACTGTTATTGTTGAAATTTCGTCTTTTGATGTGGAAATTCGCGTTATTTGTATAACTATTTTGTTATACAAGTATACAATTGTAACAATGAGTCGTCCAAAGCAAGTGAGAAAGCTAATAACCCTTGAAACTAAGAAAGAAATTATAAAGAAACGTGAGAATGGAAGAAGCATTGCGAAACTTAGTGATGAATATGGGATGGCTAAATCGACTATATGTACGATTTTGAAGAATAAAGAGGAGTTAAAAACTGTGCAAGTGGCTAAGGGAATCTTTAGACTTAGCAAAGCAAGTGTAATGTGATTGAAGAGATGGAAAATTTACTCTTAGTGTGGATAAAGGAGAAAGAAATGGCAGGTGGTAACATTAGTGAAGCTATAATTTGTGAGAAGGCCAGACAATTGTTTGAGGACCTTAAAGCCAAGACTCCCAGTGGAAGTGATAGTGATGTGCCAGTGTTTAGGGGTACCTGCATGCTGAATAACACTAAGGTAAGATAAAGTACCGTATTTTTTACATTTTCCACAGAATTTTTTCAGTGTTAAGTGGTTGTATTTGGGGGCCTGGAACGGATTAATCCTATAACGAACGAATGCTATAACGAACGAGGTTCTGGAACCAATTACGTTCGTTATAGCATACCCCACTGTATTATATTTTCTTTATTTCTAAGTCACATTAAAGCATTGTATTATAGTATTATATCTGAATATTTGAGATATTTGAGGAGAAGAGAGGTATATAGCCAATTGGTTTGGAATAGAGGGGTACAATACAGCATTACTGGTGTCTGAGGTACTTAACACAGACAGCCTCATTACCCTCCATTAACATTAGTAAAATTAATCTGTATTATCACTTGAACGATTCTTCGTGTTTTTATTAACGATGCTGAGAAACAGAATTCAAAAAAATCCTCAAGCAATTCTATTACCAGATAATACATGTACTATAAATATTCTTGATAAAAAGAAAACATGACGATCTTCAAGTTGAACGATATATAAAAATTTTCCTGGAGCTCACATCACAAAAACGGATCTCAGCCCAAGAGAGACGGATCTCAGCCCAAGAGAGACGGGTCTAATCCCTGGTGAGGTTTATCTCCCTGTATACGGGATTCCCTCCGTGATGAATAAAATCATCCAAAATTAAAAGTGACGTCCCCATAGTGAAGGGGTTAACTTGCTTTGGAATGCACTTCTGTACCCTAAGTAAAGCTAACCCTTCCTGCCTTAGAGATGCTAGCCGACAATATTTTGAGAAGAAGCATTAAGGGCCTCGGCTTTTCATAAAAAGTTAATTACTGTATAGGTATACTTTTCAAAATAAATATAACTATTGTACTATAATGTTAAATGTAATAAATAAAAACTTACAAATATATTTACAGATTTTACGCCAGGATCAAACATACTTGTCCACGCACCCGTCAGGCAGATTTGTTCTCGGGTACAAGTTAACACAATGACGCCCATCACTTCATCTATAATATTGGAGTCTTTTCTTCCTCAACCCTCATTATATCTTCTCAGTATTTTTATTTATGTATATACATTTTTTTTTTTTACGGGCATTAGCCCACCCGAGCGCAGGTCACTGACCCACATCAGGGCCTGGGGAGGGGGGCAAAAAAAATAATAATTACTCAAAATTAATAATCAATAAAATTTTAAATAAAAAATAAAAATAAAATGGTAAAAATAAAACTAATAATAATAATAATGATAATGATAATAATAATAACCGTAAATAAATACTAAAATGAAAAATCATATAAATCAAGAGTGAGAAACGATATACGTACAGTATGTATGTTGTGTTGTCAATAGTAAGAGAAACAATTGAGACCCAGCAATTGTGTGTAACTGAGGCAGAAAGTCAGATTAGCAACCTGGGACTTGGTCACAATTTTTGTGATGCCATATGGCAGCAGGGTCTACCATGCTGATGGCTCCTCTACTGCCTGGCTCATATTCATCTGGAATAAGAAATTATTGTAAATCCTGTTGTCAAATTGGTATGAGGTTAGCTTCCCACATCTTGCAGGTCACTCTTGAGGGTCTACCAATTAGATAAGAAGATCTACCGGGTAGTTTTGTCTAACAACAGTCTACTTCCTACAATATTTTAGCCAAGATTCTACTGAAAAAAAATTAATAAATAATAAAAATTAAACTATAATCATATATTCATACAAACTTCACAAGAACTAAATTCACATGTGTGCATTTTATGTATTGCTGCACCACTCAAAGTTCATTTATACCAAGATCAGGTCTGTTCCGACACAGCTGTACGTCAAATTTATCTTCTAACTTCCAACACTGAAATACTGTTACTAATAAAGGTACACTTCAGTAACCAGTCCTCCCTGTACAGTACAATCCTTTTTAAAGTGTGCTTTGTCATTCCCATTGGTTAATATACATTGTCATGGTCATAATGACAATTACGCTCCATGCCCACAAAACCTGTAAACCTTTTGGGTCTCCCAGTTGCAACATTCGTTCTCTAGCCTTAGCGTCCTTTTGAAACGTTGACGTTCGTGTCAACAAACTCAGTTTAGCGTCTGAAACTCCTCCACAAACAGGCTTCTCTCGGCCAAGAGCCTTTGTAGACTGGGACGACCTCCACACTAGTTTGGGAGATGGATGAAGACCAGTAAACTCGGGTAAATTCGTGAACGCGAGCGTCAAGAACTAACCACCTCCTCTGGGGCCCAGTCAACTGGCCCGCCGTTCACCTGTAGTGGAAGGACCAGGGATAGGTTCAGTGTCAACCTCTGATGCTTGTTCTTTCTATTTACACTGCGGGCACTCAACAGACGTGGGGAGAACACCGTGATTACATAGGAATTGGATAGTTTGATCATCTTTCTCGTAAAACTCAGCAAGAAACTTAAAATTATCATAGGAGCACGATTCACACCCAACCTCTACCACGGCCATTGTCACACTGGTCACTGGGATTGAAATCCTTCAAATCCGTACCTTGGCTTCTCCCTTTGAAAAAATTCAATTTTGATTGGTTGAAAAAAATTCGCATGATGAGATCGATACATCATTGATCACTACTGGAAGACGTCACGCATGTGTGATGTAAACACGCTCATAATTAGCTCGCTTTCATGATGATAACAACTCCTCACATAAACAAAGACTGAAAAGTACATAAAATCAATTGAATTCAATTGTGTCGCTATTATCCATTTCCGCCTGGTATATATGGGGTTCAAAATGCTCAGAATAGGGAGATCTAAATGTTTCAGTAGTTTATAACTTTGGGGCACGCTGTGTACTAAAGTACTAGAGTACTTCGTCTTCTCGGCGGTAATGGGGCGGTGACATCTCATTCCCGGATGTAAACGGCCAATCATATTGACTTATTTCAAAACACGAGTGTTTTGAAATAAGTCAATGTAATTTAGCAGCCGCACAGACAGGGCAACTGCTCTCATGTCCACAACAAACATAAAATTACACCACATCAACCACAACAATGTAAGTTCTTTCTGTTTAATATGCCACGGGTGGAAACCCTGGTTAGGTAAGGTTAGGTTTCTTTGGTTAGGTTGGTGAGGTCTTCTAACATTGGATAAACGTTTATATAAAAGCTGCGAACAACTTTGCCAGCAAAACCTTTTTTTTCCCTGCATGAATTTTGCTGCTTTTTTATTGGAGATAGTTTTTTTTTCTGGGGAAAAACAAAAAACTAATGTTTTCTAATCATGGTCAAACATTAGTTTTTTCAGATTTTCTGGAGAAATCAACATCCTCCAGTAAATAAAACAGCAAAATTTATGCAGGAAAAAAATGTTTTTGCTGGTTTTATGTACACAAATGAAGCACTAACCTAACCTCCCCTCCCCTCCCCCTGTAAGTGGATATGTAATGTAGTTAATATTTAACTTATCCTTGTTTAACCTAACCTAATGAAACCTGACCTAACTCCTTAACAGGGGGGCGGGGCCTCAACCTCCCCTGAGTTGTTATATAATGTTCTCAGTATTTAATTTATCCATATTTAACCTAACCTAACCCCCTTGAACAAACATCACATGACACGTAAGTCACCGAGACCACGCCCACGGCTCACCGACGGTATAATAGTATAAATTATAAAAGAGGAACACTTCCCCAGAGAACATTGTCACTAGCAATTAACAACAAAAATTATGGCGGAAAAGCAGTGTGTTCTTGCTAGAATCGTTGGCAGCATTAGTCTACACGTTAACCTAACATTGCTTCTGCAGCTAGTTTTTCTTATCAATTAAGATTAGGTTAGATTAAATTATAACTAAACCACTTTTAACACATCTGTACAAACTACAACAGTGTCCACTATAAAACACATAGAAATTGCGGCATTTTTATAATAATATTCTATTAAAACCATCAGCGGGTCAGTTGTCAATAATTACCCTTTTAAGAAACAGCAAGTATGTTGTGGCCTCTGACAAATTGACAAATAAAAACATCATTAAAATATACTGTATCTGACTGTGGTAAAAAATGAACCACTGACCATAACTATTAAGGTTTAACTCCTACTGTACTCCCCAGTGCTAAAATATGACAGGATACTTTAATGAAGTTTTGTTTTACTACTGTAGTTACAATGTTCCAAAGACACACACAGTGGCTTACTTGTTCATGGGCTGGTGTGGTCATGGTCCTGGTGTGTGTAGTCGTGGGCTGGTGTTATTGTGGGCTGGTAACTGCCTGGTATGGTCGTGGGCTGGTAGTTGCCTGGTATGGTCGTGGGCTGGTATGGTCGTGGGCTGGTAGTTGCCTGGTATGGTCGTGGGCTGGTATGGTCGTGGGCTGGTAGTTGCCTGGTATGGTCGTGGACTGGTAGTTGCCTGGTATGGTCGTGGACTGGTGGTTGCCTGGTATGGTCGTGGGCTGGTAGTTGCCTGAGCATGAGGTGGTGGGCTGGTGATTTGCCTGTGGTATGGTCGTGGGCTGGTAGTTGCCTGTGAGTATGGTCGTGGGCTGATGGTTGCCTGGTATGGTCGTGGGCTGGTGGTTGCCTGGCTATGGTCGTGGACTGGTGGTTGCCTGGTATGTGGTCGTGGGCTGTTAGTTGCCTGTGGTATGGTCATTGGGCTGGTAGTTGCCTGGTATGGTCGTGGTGTGAGTATGGTCGTGGGCTGGTAGTTGCCTGGTATGGTAGTTGCCTGGTATGGTCGTGGGCTGGTAGTTGCCTGGTATGGTCGAGGGCTGGTATGGTCGTGGGCTGATAGTTGCCTGGTATGGTCGTGGGCTGGTATGGTCGTGGGTGGTCGTCCTCCCCTGGTTGTTATTGGTTCTGAGGTAACATTATCTTCTTGTTCTTCTTCGTATTATTGTTGGTAATATTTTTTTCTTGGCTTTAAAACTTTTGTAACATTTACCAGTAAGTGATATGATAAATAATTATACTTGGTCATATTATTTTACTGTTTATTATTGGGGTCTGACTAATTACCCTAATGAAGCCTTAATGAAGTCAATTAATGGTCCTATATGAATAAATCGGGCTACTAATCACTTCTCGATTATTATTTGGTGTCATAAAGTCACAAAAAAATTGTTAAACTTAATTTAATCTGAGGTGTGTTAGGTTAGGTTAGGTACATGCACTCGATCTATTAACTCAGATTAAATTACGTTTTCCAATTTTTTTTTTACTTTATGACACCAAATAATAATCGAGAAGTGATTAGTAGTCCGATTTATTCATGTAGGACCATTATTTGACTTCATTGCGGCTACATTAGGGTAATTAGTCGGACCGTTTACCTGTTGTTGTACACCCGCTGAGCTCTGTGAATTGAATTTGAATTGAATTGAAACAGTTTATTTAGCCATAAAAACACAGACACAGAGTTGATAATAATAACAATATTAACATGGCTGACCCAGTTGAGAACCTGAACTCTCTTTGAGGCACCTGATATATACTATACATTTATCTCAAGGAAGTATTATGTAACATTTAGTATCATCTGGAATAGTACAATAGCATGGTGGTAATAAGAACATGTTACCACGGTTATCACTTCAATATTTATTTATTTTATTATTTATTATTTTTATGATTTTATTTATTTATACATACATACATACATACATACATACATACATATGTGTGTGTGTGTGTGAAACAGTATTATTATGCAATAAAATCACTGTGGGTGATATAATATAAGGATCATATGAAGGGTGTGGGGTATGAGATGTTTGGTTCACACTCAGGATGGGATGGAGAAAGGAAACTCAAGATGTGCTCTCTATATACATGTTGTATTGGATGTAATATGCAGCTTGGTGCTGGGAAGGCAGCATGGTTACAAGCATGATGTAGAGAGAGCTGGTTGGTGAGGACGCTCAGAGAAGGACAGCTTGTGGGTCGCCATGCTCGCCAGCGGGAGAGAGGACCGCCAGGCAGGCGGAGGTTCGAGGGAAGGCCGCCAGGCAGCAGCGGAGGAGGAGGTGTTGCTGGCTGCGGCTGTAGGTAGAGAGAGAGCGATCACCACGAGGTCAGGTCTTAAATAGCGGGGGTAGGCGTGGCTTAGCAGTTGACACCCCCGCTCCGTGGTGTATGGCGGCGCTGGTTGACCTGGACCACGAGGCATACACTGGGGAATTGGTGGGCTCGGCTAGGCCGCGACAAACAGCGTTTGTAGGGGAGAATTCCACTACAGATCCTCCCCCAAACTGCTCGGGGAGAATGTGATGGAATTACTACAACTTGCTGACTAATACTTTGCTAACGACACCAGCACGCCATACACGCGGAGTCAGCTGCTAAGCCCACACACAAACTCCAGTGCACTCACACAGGATGGAGGAGAAACTGATCACGCTCCCAGTCTTCAAGCAGCATGGAAGACTGGCTTATCCACACAGAAGCAGCTCTCATCGGCTCTACAGCTACTGTTTCTACACCGCAGGTTAGACACCCTAAAGCAGCTCTGCTACTCTAAGCAGACACCAGCTCCTCTTCCTGCCCAAGCACCACGTCCTACCGACCCCAGCACACCCGTCCTGCCTCAGACCCCGGCCCAGCAGTAACCCCTGCCGCCCTTGATGCGGCCTCTGTTCCTGAGTGCGGACACACACACCCCTCTTTTCTCCCTCAGGTACTCCCTGCTAATGTCCTGCACCCTGCTGCTGTCGTGGACCCAGCTGCTGTCACGAGCCCTCATCCGCTTCTGCTGACGCAGCCCCTGCTCCTGACCCAGGCCCACACACCCCAGCAGGCGCATCTGACGACTCTGTACCTACCGTGAGGGAAGCACAAAATTCATCGCCTCCACACACCCTTATTCTCCCTCTCTACTCCCACAGATATTGTGTATCTAGACAGTTGTATCCAGCGACCGGCTCATCACGCCATCGCCGTTGTCTCACATGAGGCACGCACCGCCCGTTCTGCCTCACATGTGCTATGCAACCCTGCAGACAACAAGTCTCCTACACAGCCTGGAGGGAAGGGGGAGTATTGTAGTGGAATTCTCCCCTACAAACGCTGTTTGTCGCTGCCTAGCCGACCCCACCAATTCCCCAGTGTATGCCTCGTGGTCTAGGTCAACCAGCGCCGCCATACACCACGGAGCGGGGGTCAACTGCTAAGCCACGCCTACCCCCGCTATTTAAGACCTGACCTCGTGGTGATCTCTCTCTCTACCTACAGCCACAGCCAGCAACACCTCCTCCTCTGCCGCTGCCTGGCGGCCCTCCCTCCTCCGCCTGCCTGGCGGTCCTCTCTCCCGCTGGCGAGCATGGCGACCCACAAGCTGTCCTTCTCTGAGCGTCCTCACCAACCAGCTCTCTCTACATCACGCTTGTAACCATGCTGCCTTCCCAGCACCAAGCTGCATTGTACATCCAATACAACATGTATATAGAGAGCACATTGTGAGTTTCCTTTCTCCATTCCATCCTGAGTGTGAACCCAAACATCCCATACCCCACAAGAATCTTCATATGATCTAGCCGGGGGGCATGTGTGTGCGCATGTGTACACATTAAGAACGTCAAGGTAATATGATTACCTTGACGTCTTTGCCTTGACGTTCTTAATGTGTGCACACACACACACACATACAATATTACACAGTAAATTCTATCTGATCAATGTATAGCAACGTGAAAACGTTAAACACAAGCTCAGGGCCCTCCCAGATGCAGAGACCCACCTACAGGACTCCCCTGAAGCGGCAGCGCCGCCAGGGGCCCTCCCAGAGGCAGTGGCGCCCCCAAAGCCCCTTCCAATGGCGACGGCGCCCCCAGAGGCCCCTTCCAGATGCGGCGAAGCTCCCAGGGGCCCTCACAGGAGCGGCGACGCCCATAGGGAACCCTCGCAAGGGAGGCAGCACCCTTAGGGGGCCCTCACACGGGCGGCGACGCCTCTATGGGCCCTCCCAAGAGCGGCGGCGACTTCAGGGGCCCTCCCAGGGACATTGGTACCCCACGGGCCTTCCCAGGGGCGGTGGGGTCCCCAGGTGCCCTTCCAGTGCCGGCGGTGCCCCTAGAGGCCCTCCCAGGGACATCAGCGCCCCCAGGAGCCATCTTACGGGCGTTAGCACCCCCAGGAGCCCTCCCACGGGCGGTGGCGCCCCTAGGAACCCTCCCATGAGTGGTGGCACCCCCCAGAGCTACTGCCAAGGACGGTGACGCCCCATGGGCCCCTCCCAGGGACGGCGGAGCCCCCACGGGCCCTACCAGGGACGGCGGCACCCATAGTGACTTGGTCGTGGTGTCCTACATACTACCTACGTCCAGCAATCCCTTTCTTAACTGTGATTGGTGGACTAAATTAAAAATCCACCAATTACAGCCAATAGGAGAACAGAGCAGACAGTCAGCACCAACCCCAACTTATGTTTTGCTGTTGGATATTAATTCTCCTTTTCATAGTTCAGGATGCAATGATAGTGGAAATGCGATGGGCGGTGTATTCATTTAAAGTCATATCTCTCCGAGTTCTAAATAGTGCAAAAACAACTGCCCTCAAGGAACCTTTCAGGGACAATGGCCCTCCCAGGGGCAGCAGCACCCAACTAGGCTCTCCCATGGGCACGGAGTTTCCAGGGTCCCTCCCAGATGCGGTGGCTCCCCTAGGGGCCCTCACAGGGGCGGCGGTGTCCATAGCGTGCCCTCCTAAGGGTGGCGGCGTCCCCAGGGTCCTCCCTGGGGCAGCAGTGCCCCCGGGGACCCTCTAAGGTGCAGTGGCAACCCCAGTGGCCTTCCCAGGGGTGATAGTGCCCCCAGCGTTGGTGCTTTTGGCCTAAAATTTTATAAGGGGTAAGAGGCTTAAAAGTGGCCACGATCTTCATCTCACTGATTTAGTTCAAAACCTCAATACTGTACTGTAAATGAGCTGCTGAACATGACGATTAAGGATCTGTGGACATTTGGTTAAAATCAGGAAGAAGTTCAGTGTCTGAAGTGCTTACTGTTCTTTCCAGTGATATGTTTGACTGAAATCTTTTATGGTATTTCCTCTTCTGGGGATTCACCAATCCCTGCAACATAAGGATTCATAGATAACATCCTTGCAGAATGAGTGGAGTGCTAACAAATGGTAGCATTTATGTTAATACTGTGTACCTGTACTTGTGATAACTTCCTCTGCTACTGTATCAATATATTGTCCTTAACAAAAGCCCGACCCAATTTTTTTCAAAAGGTAAATAACTTTTCTCTGTATTATCATATGGCAAAAAGTTCATAACAATGTTTTGTTAATACTGTAAACATGAAATATGATACAACCTCATGTTCAAAATTTTTTTTATTGGTTTGAAATTTATAGATGGTGAGAAATACACTTTCATTGTGCATAAGCAAGCAAAAAATATACATAGATATGAAGGCTACATATATGAGCAGGAATAATATATAATGAATATAGACAATTTTTGGAGACACTATTCTCTAGTGAACTGCTCAGATCTGGGGAAAACTACTTTGTCATAGGCAAAGTAAATGTTCACTCAAGATATAATCCACTACTACTATACAAGCAGCTGTTCTCTCATACACACACACACATTTTAGTTGAGCTGTGGTAGTGCCCTCCTCCCCCCTCTCTCAGTTCTTACAATAAACAACACAAGCTACATATGAAGGAGCTAGAGGGAAAAATATTTGCCGACACAGATATACAGCAGAACAGAACTGTATGTACACCATGTCCTCATACGTCAGTGGATCCTGTAGCTGGTGTGAGGAATGACATTGTCCAAGTTTTCAAGACGTGGCCAGGTGTTTTTTATACAAGTAAACAAAGAAGCCCGATATAACATAAAAGACACGATGATGAAGTCATTATGAAAATACAAATCTTAGGTCAGCCATACACAATTTGCTTGAAGTCAATGAGTGTCTTGATTTACCATTACAGTTCCCAATTTGTTGACTTCATCACCAATATCCTTGAAATATTTGAAAGGTAATCACTATTAAACTACACAGACTATCCAGCTGCATAGATGACCCCTTTTATTTACCATATACAGAAACCTTGGATTTATGCAAACTACATACAGATAGGTAGTCGACTATTGGCCGTTTTACTCATGAAGCACAACCATGTGATTAGTTATTAAAGTACGACTTGGCTCTCTATGACAACTTATTTCTGTTAACACTGATACATTACCTAGTGTGTGTATTTCTCATCTAATTGCGGTAGAATTTCCTTAGTGTCATTTCATTAGAGCCAACTTATTTATGACAAGTTTTCATAAATTTCACATAATTGTCCAGCTTGTACATGTACAAGCTGGACAATTTTGTAATTAAGAAGATTTGTAATCAGGTGAGAAGGTCGGGTCACCTGACCTGACCACCAACCGTTGTGTGCTATTTAAAGATTAGTAGGGTCATTACCTAATACCTGACCATTGTGGACCTGGTCTCACCCTCCTCTGTATATATACACCTTGGTTTGTACTTCTCTTTAGTATATATATATATATATATATATATATATATATATATATATATATATATATATATATATATATATATATATAATATATATATATAATATATATATATATAATATATAATATATATATATATATAATATATATATATATATATATATATACAGTCAACCCTCGCTTTACGTGGTCCCACTTTACACGTTTACGCGGTACCCTGCCGAAACCGGAATGCTCACTTTCTGCGGTGTGTGTACCCTTTTACGCGGAGAGCGGCGCGAGCAGGGTGCGCACAAGGTCGCTCAGTCATCAAAACATTACCGAGTTCTTCACCCGCCACCCACTACAGCCGGCCCAAGTCAGTGATAGTGATAATGATAGTGAGGATATGGACTTATATGGACTTTGACAAAGAGGCCCTGCAAGCCTCTGTGGTGGATAGTGATACAATTGAGGGCCAATAATCTGCCCTCTGCCTCGGAACCAACCCCCCATCCCCGTGTGCCCAGCCATCTTTTCTACTAATGTAAGTGTTAAAAAACCTAATATTATTGATATTACTCTTAATTATTAATTGTGTGTGCATACCATCATAAAATTAAGAAGTTATTTTTACTACAACGTAGGTATTGTGTCTGAAAAAGTGGAGTTTGGGGGTCGGCCCGGTCTCTATTTCAATTAATCCCATATGTTATGTTGTTCACTTTACGCGGGCCGCCGTGGGTTGAATTAACCGCGTAAAGTGAGGGTTCACTGTATGTATATGTATGTATGTATGTATGTGTGTGTGTGTGTGTGTATATATATATATATATATATATATATATATATATATATATATATATATATATATATACACACATGAAAAACCTTGACTGGTGCGGATCTAGCATGGCATATGGTCCGGACATTCTGTCACCCTACTAGTATAGTAAAAAAAATATGAAAGATTCGCTTCCATAAAACGATGAAACACAGCATATTGTATACAGTATGTCAAACTTTAAATTAATAATAATAAATAATAATATAAAACTTCTCACACCCATTTTCAGCATAAATACTGTAATGTATCCAGAAATACCCATGATCAAACACGTACATTATTGTAATGCTATATTATTATTACAAAATTCTAGGTAGATATGAGATGAGATCTTTTCATGACACCATATTTTTCACATTGATGTTAAGGCTTTGGTACGATAAGCTTGTTTTAATAACTATTCTACTTGACTGAGTAGACTCCCTATTAATTCTAAAACTAACTTAAACCTTTTCTTCAGCAGTCCTCTACATAAAAAAAAGGTCATGACACAAGAAGTGAGTACAGTGTGGTATTGTACTTTATAAAAGGTTAGAATAATAGAGGTAGTAACCCAACACCGGGTCAGCCTGCCCCCAGAACCACATTACCTTGTCTTGCCTCAATACATTAACACTGATTAGAACAGTCAGCAATTTGGATGGGCTACTTATTCAATTAAGATAATTTCATGAATAACAAAGAATGCAAAAGGAACTGCAAGAACAACTTAACAAGTCTGCCAAGCAGATACAGTGATTGTGAACAAATTAAGTTAGTGGACAACAGTGACAACCTCTTATATCAATGGCTGAAACAATGAGTTGAGGTCAGTTAACTACCAGTCTACATCTTCAAATATTACAGATCCAGTCTCAATAAATGAAACATTTAGTAGGGAATGCAGTTGTCAGTCTTACTAACAAATGAGTGAATATCACTATGTGTGAGAAGACCAAACTCACCTCGGTATGTTTTATTAAGAGTTAGAGCATGACACAAGTAAGACTAAATGGAAGAAGAGAAACAGAAAATAGCCAGCTTTGAAAGATTTTATGGAATTTGAGAATTGTACAAACTGTAGAGCATATAGCAATAATTTTGTTCAAGTGGATATGAAAAAAAAAGTTAGAGATGAGCTCTTAAACTCCAGAGTTTCCATGGGAAACAAGGCTAAACCATCCACAACCTACTATTGTATTCATTATATTGCTGAGTGAAGGTAAACAGTGTTGATAATGGGCTGGAGTGAGTCACATACCAAAAAGTTATACTGTACTGTCATTTACATATACCTGTTAAGCAGTCCACTACTATTTCTAAAGAACTTCATTACTGGGCAACACCTTAACCAGTTTTGAATAAGTCTTGGACAATATCTTTCTTTGCATCTAAAAGGTTATTGATGCTTTTTGTGTTGAATATTTGTTTTTAAAATTGGATATCAGAGAAATCTACTTCATAACTGCACAGGAGATAGACCCCAAGATAACTGGCCCAGTGCTTTACCACAAGTCCTGTACAACCAGACACAGACTTCCCTTTACTGATTTTTTAAAGCCTATCATCAAAATGCTAAGACTGTTGTGCCTATTGATTCAAAACTTAGAATGTCTGTAATAGTAAGACTTGTGTTAGCTACAGTTAACAATGTCTGTTCTGGATTTAGTCACACGTGCTGTAGTATGATCTGACTTGAGAATACAATATACAGGAGTGCTTCCATTTACAAAAATTCACTAATACAAAAAAAAAAAAAATTGTTCCAGTAATTCCCATGGACACACCAAAAAGGCCTCCCAATTCTTCTGCAACATAAAGGGAAACAATAAAAACTGAGGACAAAGAAAACATTGGGAACAATTCCACAGAGATAAACACATGGCAGCAAGATTAAGGTCTGAATTCCAGGTGCTGTATTGGTATAAGGAAATTAGAAAGACTTGTTGCAATTGCTAAGGCAAAGTGGAGGACTAACGTTGCCCTAACCACCATGTAGTAAAAGAACGTGGCAATGACCACAACTCGGGCTCCACATAATGGAAGGAGGAATTATTATTATTATTTTTTATTTATTTTTATTTTTTATTGGGCACCCCCCTACATCCTTGTGTAAGGTGAAGCGCAGAAGCGTTTACAGCGCCCAACAGGGAAGCATGCTAAGTTCATGCTTGCCTTTATGCCTCGTGAGTTAAGGGCGTAGAAGCCTGAAGAGTGAATGGTTATGTCATCAAGTTATTGGAAGCTCCAACAACTCTCCCGGAATACGAATTCGCAACTTTCGACTGACAACAGGTACCTACTTTACTGCTAGGTGAACAGGGACTAATGGGGCCTAGGAAGTATGTCCAAACAACTTCTACCGGCCCGAGAATCGAACCCGTGACATCTTGCTTGTGAGGCAAGAACGGTACCGCTTCTACCACCGGTCCCCCTGGAAGGAGGAATGTGATAGTGAAGTCATACCCAATAATCTTGATAATAGCCAAGAGTGTTCCATCAATTTTTGAGTGTTTTATTTGTCCCACACAACAGGAAGAATAATTTGATAATGAAGGTGATACTGTGCACCGGATAATCTTGATTGTAACCGTGGATTTGTCACCAATTGCTGTGAATGTTTTTTCATAGCGCCAACACAACAGGAGGAGGAATCTGACAGTGGTGTCACACTGAACTGCTTTATAAATCTTATCATTAATATAATACGAGTCAAAAAGTTTGACACCGAGAGGGCCGCATCAAATATTTTGGCTAAAAAAATAGTAGCGGTCTGTACCGCCATCTCCAACCTACACAGACTACCCCTACCTCCAGCTGCTACCCAGTCATCCCCCTCTTCTGGTTTGACACAACATGGTAGCCCTCCTGTGTGCCCCTCATGCTCTCGGCCTACTCCACCACCGCCTGGCACCACTGCTGGCGTCCACACTGAGTCTGCCCCGTGCCCGGCTGCCCCCGTCCATCCACCGCGCGCTCATGAACCCAAGGACACCACCCCTGGCTCCCCGTCCCCCACCGGCATGCCTGCACCTAGGGCCCATCCACTCCAGTTCTCCACATCAATTGACCACCATGCGGACATGCTAGTGGACTACGTATCTACGCCAAGAAGGACGTCCCCTACCAACCTCTCGACATCCCCCTTGAAGCCGACAATACCGACGTACACGCCATCACAATCACACTAAAAGATATGTCCCTCAATATTGTCAATGCCTATGGCCTGGCACCTGACATTATTAGGGACCTGCCACGCTTTGCCATAAACAGATAAATTGTATCGAGAAATTTCCCCCCATGACCCTTCAGGCTTTTACGCCCTTAATGCATGAGTCATAAAGGCAAGCATGAACTCCGCATGCTTCCCAGATGGGCACTGTAAACGCTTCTGCGCTTCACCTTGCACAGGATGTAAGGGGGTGCCCAATAAACTAGCCCCCTCCAGGGCACTCTAAAAATCTAACCTGTATAGTTCCTGGATTCCCTCATGGTATGGAGTTGCTTCTCCTACTATGGCGTGAAGATGTACCAATATAACTACTGTACTTGAGTTACTATGTGATGAGTTACCAGAATGATTTGAGCTGTGTCAGGCTGAGACTTTTATGGAGGACGGGGCACTGTGCCATACAGCAAAATCTGTGTGCACTTGGCTGAAAGATTATTGTGTTAACTTTATTGAGGATTGACCAGATAATTCCCCTGACACAAATCCCATCGAGAACCTATGGGCTATAATTAAGAGGCGTAGAGACGTTTGTGTGACCACTACACATCATCACTCTCCAAGCTTGAGGCACTGTGAGGAAGCCTTGCACAAGTTGTGGGCAGAAATTCCCCCCCACACAGCTAAAGAATCTGGCGATAGCATTCTGAAGAGGATTAAGGAGTGCATAAAATGCGGAGGGAGAGCAACAAAGTGCTAAGAACGAGGTAAGCGTTCCCTATCAGTGTTCATATCTTGTTGCCTGGTGGTGCTGGTGTAAAACTTTTTGATAAGTACAGTACACATGCTTAGAAGTATTGTTCCCACAAAAAATTGATTAAAAAATGTGTATTTTTATGTTTGGGGGCATGTTTTTTCCTCATAGGAACATATCTCCCTTTATATAATGGTAATCAATGGGAAGAATGGCTTCAATTTATGAAATATTTATTTACAAAAGGTTTTTCAGGAACTTACCCTTTTGTAAATCAAAGCACTCCTGTAGTCCAATTAGCAATCATCCCCATCAATACCTTATATGGATTCAATAATATACATGTGCAGAAAACAATGTAGATTTGTTACATTTAACAAATTTTACCATCACTAAAATTAATGTATAAAAATAGAAGATAACAAACATTTGCATAACAGAAGACTAAAGTGTTTAAATCACAACTCAAACAATATATTTCAAACTTGATTTACTTAGCAATCTAAATTACTTATCCAAAGTACATTCTCAGTTGCACTTCCAATATCACAAAATGTTACATCATTTCACAGATCCATTCTTACTTCACTTTGTAAAAATACCGCTAAATGAGATAGGTTTACAGCACTGACTATGGTCACTGTTGGTACACCCAACATTTGTGCTCTTTGTCATACTCAAAGGGTTTGGCAACTTGAAAGCCTTTCCATTTGTGGCAGGGATGGCCATATCAGTGAAGGTGGCCAGGCCAGAGGGCCCAGGAGCAACGTTGGCATTGTTATTTGTGACAGGTGTGCCATCTGACTGTTCTGTGGACATCGTTGCTTCTCGTTCTTCACACAGGAAGATGCTTTCCTTCTTCTCCTTGGTGTTGTATTCATCAATTCTATTGAAAATACAAATTTAGTAATGACTAATAATATAATAAAAGGCCAAAGTAATCTTGTGCCTATAAGAGTACAACACTTTTAGAAAATTCCCTTATTGCATGCATATACAGTGACCCCTCGGTTAACAAACGCAATCCGTTCCAGAAGGTCGTTCGTTAACCGAAAAGTTCGTTAACCGAAACCATTGTTTCAATGGGTTTTTGGGTAATTGGTTCCAGCTCACCGAAAATTTCCTAAATTCAACAAAAATCGTAGAAAAGTTCACTTACTTTGAGGTGTGTATGTAGAAGGCTCCTGGATGATGATGATGGGAATTAGAATGAGGGTGGAGGAGAAGGAAGAAGAAAAGGCATTGGGGTGGAAGAGAAGTCACCCCATGGCACCATTTCATCCATAAAATTTTAGTTCTCTTGGTGTATTTCAAGATTATTTTCTTTAAATCAACACTGCACTGCATTATATACTGTCAATATGTAAAATATATTTCAAAATGACCAATAATTTGCTTGGAAACACAGAAAAATAGCATTTAGTTGAAGAGAGTCTCAAGCAAGATGTTACCTCCACTGAAAACAGAGAGAGACTAACGCCTGTCTGGTGTGTTAACAGGCTGGATGGCACGCCAGAAACTAGTTTCTTTACCTTCAATTATGTTCAATAATTGTTAAAATGACTAAAAAAGTTAATATTAAACTTTTAAAATTATTGAATAGTATAAACTTCTTGATATTTACTAAAATAGTAAGGAATTTAAGCCCTAGAACCAATTAATGTATTGGCGGACTGATACTAAAGCTGGTTGCCCGGTCAGTGCAAGCGAAAACATGTTGAGGTCGGTTCGTAAGAAATTCGTTAACCGAATTCTTGTTCGTTAACCGAATTGAAGTTCCTTATGGAAGGCAGTTCGTTAACCGAAATTTCGTTAACCGAGGCGTTCGTTAAACGAGGGGTCACTGTATTGTTACAAATTCTGTACTTAAAGGAGGATTCTCCCAGCCATGCTTGTATTATGACACTTTAAAAACCAAATATTTTGACAAATCTAACAATATTGTGTGTATGTGTGCGAGATGAATACTGGTACTTTATACATTATGATATACTCTGTATCATAAAACTCCTCTGCTGGTACTTAGTATAAGTTTTGCTCTGTGCTGGTACATACTGCACTCATCCATTTACACACAAGGGTTTGAACCAATATTATTAATTACTTTTGGGGGGAGTTTATATATGTATTTATAACTAAATTTGCACATGCACTGTTCGGCAAAAACAAGATCAATCAATTTCATGGACAAAAAAATAATACTGTATTCTGGCCACAAGTGAGATCATTTTGGAAGAAGAAAAATGGTGCACAAAGTAAGCCCCTGCAAAACTAGACTGTTTAGGATGGAGGTTCTATATATTGTGAATATACTGTACAGTGCAGTACAGTTCACAAAATAACCATTAACCCCTTCACTACAGGGGCTAACATCAGATGATTTTATTCAGCACAGGGGATCCCCAGTTCATAAGGGGTTTATGGCATTAGTTTGAACTGAATGAGTCTATTAGATTAATTTTGAGACTGGAATAAATCAAAATGCTCGATTTTCTCCCTAAAGGAACAGTCTGGGTCTGGCTATTCCAGACTCCCAGCAACATTACGATATACTGTACTATAAAGAATGAACTGTTGCAAGTTGTGATGCAATAGTTACTCTGCCATGATACAATGTTACATGGTTGTTAGTCATGAAGTTATCATTTTTTTAAAGTAAGTTAAAGTTAAATTAAGCTCTCAATATTCATAAGTTCCAGGTATTCATTAACTGATAAATGTTACCAATTCTTAATATATGACTCAGTGACTTGCAGTACTTGTGAGTCCATCTCCCACCCACCACACTGTCTCCCACCCACCACACTGTCTCCCACCCTCCACACTGTCTCCCACTCTCCACACTGTCTCCCACTCTCCACACTGTCTCCCACCCTCCACACTGTCTCCCACCCTCCACACTGTCTCCCACCCTCCACACTGTCTCCCACTCTCCACACTGTCTCCCACTCTCCCTACTGAATTCCTATTGTGGACTTTTGCTCACAGTTTGGTATCCCCCACACAGTACAGTAACAGTAATGTGGTATCTAACAGCAGCAGCAATCTTATTTTTGCATAAATTACCAAACTAAACTACCCCAGTAAGTGAAATACTCTAGTTAGGACCGGCATTAGCACATAAGCAACGGTTTTTAAATAAAGGACATGTTATAATATGTAACCACAGCATTTAGTACAGAAGACAGGAACACTGGGGGGATCTCTTACTTGTCATAGATTATACCATGGAGTCCAACTTTCTTGAGGAATTTTATGTTCTCTTGGTCATTGTTGTCATCACCCCAACAGAACACAATCAAGTTGTGATCCAGTGCCATCTTGAGCTGGCTGGGGTCACGCATCAAATCCTCCGTGTGTACGTTAATGCCCTGGGGAAGAAAAACATGAGCTGTAAAATCAGCCAAGTTCTCAAGGATGAATATTATAACCTCTGACAAGAAGAAAATTCATATTACCCGAGAATCTACAATAAATCTAAAGCTGTAATAAAAATGTTTGCACAAACATTTAACAATTAATTTCTGTAACAATAAAACCTTTGTGAGAGGAATAATTACAAATAAGTATCTGAGGGAGACCTAGAGAGGCCATTTTCCACACTCGTGCGGGTTAGTCGTCATTACCCGATGGCAGGTTATCTGTGTGGTTCTATTTTAATATGATTACAATGTTACATAATACTTCCTTGAGATAAATGTATAGTATATATCAGGTGCCTACAGGAGAGATCAGGTTCTCAACTGGCTCAGCCATGTTAATATTGTTAGTAATATCTACTCTGTATCTGTGTTTTTCTGGCTAAATACACTGTTTCAATTCAATGTAGATAATCAATACATATTCCCTGCCACAAAACTCAATACCTGTATCAGCTTAAGTGTGTGATATGTCCTAACTCTTTAGACCTTTCACCTTAAAGTGTGACCTACACCTTCCCTGGCAGTAGTTGATCTTTAACCTTTGTGTACCGTAGCCTCAAAAGTTACAGTGCAGACACAATGTTGGATGGATGGATTGACACTGGCATCTAAATGGTTTTTTTTTGTATAATAATAATAATAATAATAATAACAATAATAATAATAATAATAATAATAATAATAATAATAATAATAATAATAATAATAATAATAACATTCTGGAATAGAAATTTAGGCAATTTGACCAAGGATAAGCAACAAAACCACAAGATGCGTATTCCCAGCACAGTCCCAACGTTGCCCTTATTGGCAATGGGACGAGAAGCTGTGTTTCCAACGCGTGATAACCAATGGCAGAGAGACCAAGAAAGGGAGATGGGTGGAATGACATATATTTGTACAGATGGAAAAATCAACATCCACTCTCACCAGAATATCAGCATTAACAGCATACAAAACAGCATGAGGGATCGTGGTTGTGCGCTGGTCCTCGTAGGGTGGCCACACTTCTGATATCCCTTGAGTGAGGAACATGACGGGGTATCGGTTCTGCTTGAGGCGTAGCATCGTGCAAATGTCAGGATGGAAACAAGAGAATACAATTTTTCTCTTTCCAGCATACTCCAGAATCATCTATAGGGAAGAATACAATTTATTCTTAGTGATTTTTTAAGGATTAGTATAGTACACTGACTACCTCCCAGGGAAATACAGTGATGAAATGGAAAGACGCAACTTTGCATATAAAGTAAAAATTTAAAATAAAATATTTTTATGTTTGTGTATGAAAGCTACACGTAAGATGCACATCTGGCAATGTAAGCACGATCTGGCAACTATGTAGACTGCACTCCAAGGTCACCACACCGGTCTCCCTTCTGTGTTTAAAGGACCCAGGATATAACACTGATCCACATTTCCCACGGCTTGTGTTCATTTCTCATGCATCACAGTGATTTTGTTTATTCATAACAGTGTTGAGTGTTTTGAACCTTGCCTCATGTTGCTGGTGAGTGGGAACACCTGAAGAGTGATAGTCTGTCTGGCCCTTCAACAAGCAGTCCTAATGCTATGACTCAATACAGTATTTATAATTATCTTTTGTGCTCGGAAAGAAAAAACTAACACTCTGTACCTGGCCCAGGTACATGCATAAGCATGAAATATTTACCAATATTACCTTGCAAAATATTTTTTTCCTACAACTTTTCTTCTATACCTGTGTATCTATTTTCAGGGTGTCTACTGGCCAGACAAAACAAAATTCCCTGCCTTTTCCAGCCTAGTAGACACCCTGACAGTTTAATCTTTAAGAAAGTGTATATAAAGGTGATTTAAAACTTACGGACACAGTGTAATGGACTTTTTAAACATCCTGAATCATTTCAAAGGTCATCAATTCACACTAATTACTAAAAATTTTAAATTATGAACCCAGATCCTTAATCAGTAAGTAAAGTAGTATACTGTATTTGTATTAAATTTAAACAATCAATTGTTTTATCCCAAGTGCCAAAAACTAAGAAGTATGCTTTATAACTGAATGATGTTCACATAAAATAAAGAAGGTAGAAAGTGATGTACGTACAGGTATAAGGATTTTCATTAGACATAAAAAAAAATTGTGTTCTACTCGCACTTAAGTATAGATATAATTATTTATCTCAATTACTCATATAAAACTGCTTGTAGAGAATTTATTTACAATACCTGTACTAATGCAATAAATCCCACCTTTTTATCTCAAATAACAAGCTTACTATGACTCATCAAACAATCATCTCTCAAGTGGTGCAGTCAAGAGGTGAGATGAGTAACAGGCCAGACGTCAAGTGTCTCGCGGGAGAGTGCCGACCCAAACCCACGAGTGTTCATAAAATATGCCGGAAAATCGGACTTTATGAATATAACTGGATTATATGAATATCATCCACATCGCTTATTTCAACAGATCATTAAACACCCTAATGCTAACTGGGATTGTTAGGTTAAATTAGTGTTAGGGACGCTACTAATCATATGATCCAGATACCCATAAATGCATCAACAATTAAACTGGTGTTCCTCAGGTACAGAAGACCTTGTTATCATCACTCTCCTCCTCACACAACAGTACCTTAATAATGAGATCCATGAAGTGGTTCAATTCAAAGGGATGCTGAAGCTCAAATGTGCCGTCCCTTGTCTGCATCGTCCACTTCACCTCCACGTTAAACCCGCACGTGTATGGAACGCTCTCCAGGGCGCGCTGTAATGTGGGGAATGGCTGGTGGTCCTCAAATTCCTCATCCCGGAACCTGCTCAGTCCTTGCTCCTTCTTGTGGTACACCTGGGGGCCAGAGAGAAGCATCTTAGTCTACAGTTATGAGGATAGACCAGTGATGAAAGGCTGTGCTCCAGGCCAGATGCCTCTCTGCTAGCTTCCCACATCTCTATTGCTTCTCACCAATGATCTAATGAAAACTAATAAATACCATTAAAAAATTACAAGACAAATATAAAAGAGGATTTAAACATTGAAGCCTTTCCAGACCATAAATTATTCTGTGCTATGGAGTACAGAATAAAATCTTTCCTGTACAATTCTTGGGAAAATATATTTTCCTACATGTTTATACTTTCAGATGTGGCACAACTTCCAAGATAAATAATCAACATACATTTCTATGCCAGAAATGTCCTCCTTGATGCCAGCAAGTACAGGTACTGCACTCTCAAGGCACAAAAAACTAGTGGTACCATCTTAGTTATCAACACACAGCTGTACTGGTGAGGTGGATTACTATTAACATCCTCCTTAATACCAGTACACATACTCAACTGTACACTCCACCAGCACGGTACCTTGCCACTACCAGTACTTACAAAACACAATCACTCACAAAACCCAACATAGATACTTACCAACCAGCAGTCTTACCCACATCACATTATTTTTCTAACATGAAATACTCCCCATCAATATACAATGAACACATGTATAATATCTCTTTTTATATAATACATTACAGTCCTTTTTCTACACCCACACTATAGCAATTCACAACACTCTGAAACTGTCCAATTACAATTACCAACACTCTAGAACTAACCAATTACAATACCAACAATCTAAAACTGACCAATTACAATTCACAACAATCTAAAACTGACCAATTGCAATTAACAACAATCTAAAACTGACTAATTACAATTCACAACTCTCTTTCTGAAACTGACTAATTACAATTCACAACACTCTTTCTGAAACTGACCAATTACAATTACCAACAATCTGAAACTGACCAATTACAATTCAAACCCCCAAAACTCCTCGAACCTAAAAACACAAACAGGTTCTGTAAGCTGACAAAGGGGAGGAGAAGTGTGAGTGGATATCTTCTACTTCATGCATCACCCATCTCTCTCCTGCCAACACTTTTACCTTGTACAGCTCAACATCTCGACCCCATCCTTTCGACCCCTCGTTCTACCATGATCGTGGACTTACTAATCACGTCCGAGTGCCTTCTGGAAACAACCTCTACTCCTCAAAGCGACATAAGCACAAGCAATACACTGTACATCATCTAAAACGCGGAAATGAAAAAGTAAGTCGGTCACGTCATGGATTAAAAGACACTCTACTGCAGTTTCACAATTGTAGCTTTGAAAATTATTGGTCTGCCATAACTCACAATGCAATACAAATTAACAAAATGCAAACAACAAAGTGTAAACATCCGAGAACAATGTATTCTTTATGTTACCGTATGTAATTATTATAACGAACTTGTGCATAGTGGAAAGGCCTATGCACTGGTCGGATCTGTATTCAAGATGGTAATGGAATGGTAAAAGTCCCAAAGTGCCACAGGAAAATGGTACAGGAATCATAAAATAAATAACAAAATCACTCAGAATCTAAATAACAAAATCTCTCAGAATCTAATATTCTCAATAACTTCTCAATCTCTAATTAGTTTATTGTGTCAAGGATGAGTTGCTGATGTTTTAAGAAAGGAGAGAAGATGACGGAAAGGGTAGGTGTCCCATCTGTCATTGTTAACTGAAAAAGTAATGTGAGATTGTATGTGAAAAAAAAAGAAAAAAAATCACACAGTACAGTATAAAAGGTGCCCCCCTCCCCTATACTAGAGGTTAAGGACAAATACATAAAACTTGCGAACCCAGAAATCACCAATGACGATGGCCAACACACATTCTAGCGTCACCAACCTAATTCATGAACTTCTAAAAGGTGAGCCCAGGAGACCTACTATGCCCAGTCATGCAACACTTAACACTTACTTATTTTCCTTCTCATGCAATTTGTAATCAGGCTCTTTATAGGTAAAAACAGACATATAACTAGTACAGCACCACACACACACTCATCAACACAAGCCAAAGTTTGTAGCATAAACTACTCGGTCTACAAGGGCAGAAAAACAGTTCAGGTCAGTAGAAACAAATTCAAAGCATATACTTACTTGTGACAAAAAATTACAACAAACTTTCTTTAATGAAACAGGAGATATTAGTGCACAATGTCCTGACACACAAAAAGAAACAGTAGGTGTAAGCCACATGAAAGTATACTCTGAAGCATCACCAACCATCCCAGGAACAGCCAGACTCAACAGGGTCTGTGTGTCATATTGTTGAAATTAAATTAAACTGTATACAGGTAGTTTCATCTGCTCTACAAACAATACACCTCACGAAGAAACTTACCCATACCATCACTATGACTAATGAGTACAGTACCAAGATCCCTTCATCACAGCACAATACAAATAAGCTTCAACATGTAAGCAGTTAGACGTTCGCCTCCAGGGTACAGGACAATACAGGTGTGCAGCTGCTAGTCTCGCATCAAAGCCGACATTCAAGAAAAATAACGTTGACTTTACTACAACATAGAGGATGGGATCTCCTGTCTATAAGATGGAGAACTAAGTGAGTCACACAAAGCTGGAGAAGTCATGCTTACCACACATCACTTACCTATTACATTACAGTATTTTGTGTACCTCTTTATACCAGCAGACCTTACATCTAATCCTAACAGAAAAGAATCTGACAATTAACTATCTCTTCATTACTGGTGCTACCTTAAATATTGCTCAACTGGCTGGGTCCTTCCACTATATGCACTAAATTACACACTCTTTTGAACTGACTATGTACTGCAGGACTTCTTAAAAGAGAACGTAATGACAAACATGAGAGCCCAGAGAGCACTCCACTGGTGACGAGACACTTGTTGCCCATTCATCTGTTCCTCGAGTCCCAAAGTTAGTCAGGGTGGGTAGTATTCTGGGAAGGAGACGTTTAAAAGACAAGAGTTACGAGGCAGGTAGTGGGAGGCATCTGTTCCAGCCTAAGATGTACGTACAGCAGAACCTCAATGACTGTGACTTGTCTGAAGATACTGTATCCTCCCTTTACCAGTACACACAGATGACTCCTCCAAAAGCTTCACCACATAACCACACTTCACAGTACTTTCAGTTCCATAAACATACTCCCATACACAGTGCTGGAGATACCTTTTGTATATAATCCCACACACACCTCACTACATTATGCTCAAACTGATTTCTTCTGTACCCATTAAGTTTCAATAATTCCTTTGACATGTGCTATTCTATAATACTCTATTTTGTATTGCTGGTTCCCCTCTTCGGTCTAGCTATCTTTCAAGTATTAATTCTATGTCTCAGTAGACCAATCTAAGCCCTCTGCAGTCACTAGCCAATGTTTCAGCCTCGTACACTCATAGGAGATGCATCACTCGTATGAAAATTGTCAAATGTGATAGATCTTACCAGTCAATCGCTTCACATTTTTATACTAAACTAAAAAAAAAAAAAACCTGAATTATACTTTGTCATCAGTTATTAAAACTACCCTATATACACACACACAACCAAGGTGATATATTGCATGTTTTTTGACTTTAATCTTTACAAGTTACTCACAACCCATAGAGGTCCTTCAGTCATTATTAGCTGCTCTCCCATACACTACCACACAGCAAAATACTGCCCTGCTATTATCTTGTGTCACTTTCTCCACTAACAAATACTGTACTGAACCCTTTACTACCACTGACAGTAAGTTTATCACTTATATATATCCATCGTCTACATCTCTGTTCCAAATAAATGAGTTGGATCTTCACAACACATCTCACCTCATGTTACCTTCTACACTTTCCTAAGGTGGCATTTCTTTAGTCTGTTTTGAAGGATATGATCTGCCTGGGAGAGAAATATTCATCAAAATCGAGGTTCTACTGTACATGGACGACAGTTATGCAGATACAAAATGTTTCCGCACTACAGCCTGTAACAGCCAGATGGTTGAGTGTCAAGGAATGTGGGCCTGAGAGGTACGGAGTAAGAAAAGGATTGGCGATAAACGGACGCTTTCTCATGGGGTGCTGCCAACATACCATGTCTTCACGATCACAGTAAGAGAGGATGTCGGACGGCCTGCCTTCTTTGAGATGACTCAGATCCTGAGGGTAAAAAAAAAAAAAAAAAAAATATACACTACACTCAGCAGGGGCAATTTGTCTGGCAACACGCCCGGGAGTTTATCTGGGGAGGGGCGTGACATGTCACACTTAAGGGATGCAAAAAATAAAAAATACAGTATATATATATACTGTACTATATATACAGTATATACCCACAATGAACACTAGGCTAGAAATAATCATTTAATACATTCCTATAATATTTAGAATTGCCATTTTTTAAATCATAAATTACAAGAGGAAGGATAGCTTTTACTAAATGCTGTGTGAGGGCATCAAGAAGAGAGGGAAGCATCTTTACAGCAAGATGCAGTGTACACTGTTTATTCTGAGAGTTCATGGCTGTCAACAATACTGCTATTCACACCCTAAACAAAATTAAAAACAATTGGTTTATGACTAGCAAAAATTCACACACACTTCAACTCACAGCAGACACCCTTAATACATTTACAATACACTGAATTAAGTTTGAACATAAAGACATTAATTTTTAGGGAACTTTAAGAATGTACAAGGTTGTTAATTTGTTTCATCTCGAGTCCTGCAGCTCATTAACTACTGCTGACAAGATTATAAGTGTGAAGTGACTTACAGCATTACTTTAAGACAAATTCATAACATACTGTACTTCATGATATACATAAACTAAATTAAACTGATTCTGTTATTTTGTGAATACGATAAGATGCTGCTAGTGAATCGTTCAAAATCCAACCCCCCGACACACACACACACACACACCTCACACACTCACAATACCACTAAGACTTAACAAGCACCAATAAGAGTCTCAATATGGAACTGACAACAGTCCAAAGTATTTAATTACTGTCTATGTTTTTTCATTCTTAACTGTGACACCAAGAATCACTTCAGTCTATTACAATACAATTTTGTTTTTATGATATCTGGAGTCCAAACTTAGCAAAAATACAAAGCCACTGTCTGGTATTTAACTGTATATTGCAATTACCCAATGACTGACTGACTGACACACAGTTTTAAATATTTCCAACTAAAGCACTCTGTAATAACAAACTATTTCTGTACTACTGCCCCGTGGCTTCTGTAGTTACTGTATCAAGTAAAAGCGAGTCTATATCACTGCCTAGATACTGTACTACCCTCAAGTGTTCTGTAGTGATCCCCATAGTGTGTTCCCTCTAAGACTGTCTTTGTTCATCATAACTTCAACAGTAAATACCAGACCATCCATATCTGACCTATCTTCCCTGAGGCATCAAACGTCGACCACCGAGATGAGTTACAAGTCCAACTCTCACTCAATGAATATAATTGCTGTCAAGTGTAGAGTGAGTGGTAGGCGGGGGTGATAGCCTGGCAGGTGAGATACAGTAGAGATAAGTGAGATACAGTTGAGGCAAGTGAGATACAGTTGAGGCAAGTGAGATACAGATGAGGCGAGTGAGATACAGTTGAGGCAAGACGAAGTGAAAAGCAAAGCAAGTCTACAGAAAATCCCCATCTCAAAATAAATAAAAACAATAAAAAATGGCACAAAATAAATAAGTGATATTTGCGTTAGCCAGAACAATTGATGCAGAGCACTTCCAGGAATGAGAGATTCCTGGGTAACGAGTCTACTCTCTCAAAGCCAGAAAAAAAGTCCTCCATCCCCGGAACTTTCCGGGTATCGGCAAAATTTTCATGGAATTTTCCGGAAAATTCTGGCTTCGGGAACGATTTCCCCCCAAAATTTAATTCTGGCTATTGGAGAGTTCCGGGTATGAGGGATTCTGGCTAACGGAAATATTACATAAAAAAACACTGCAAGAATATATAAAAAAGGTATAGAATGGAAGGAAGATAATTAAGTGGATAGAAAATGGAAGAAATATCATAATAAAAAAAAAAAGATCTGGAAAGCAAGTAAATAATAAAAAAAAAGACAAACACCAACAGAAAAAAGCAATATTCCCAACACTGAGAACAGAGCGGTAGTCAATAATACCCAGTCATCTTCACCACCCATTTTCATCCTTTTAACATTCAACATATTAAAAAAAAAAAAAAAAAAAAAAAAAAAAACAAATAAATAAGTAAATTTAAAAAGATCTTCCATGAAAGCATCCTGCGTCATAGTATAAGCTACAGCTATTGTCTTCTCGTGGCGCTGTAGAAGATTGAAAAATAAACCAACTGAAATGAGACAAAGCATATGCAATAATTAAGCTAAAAACAACAAGAGGAAAGAATAAAAAGCAAGAACAGAGAACAGCAGGAAAGAACAAGAACGCAGGATATAACTCCAAGCAGGATACATTTTTACACAAATTATTAAGAAATATTAACATGTATACAACCAAGCAAAATCACCATAAATAATGAAAGCCTCACAATAATTTAATCAAGGAATAAATCAAATCAAAACAAGCCTTGTGTCACTGTTCATTATAAACAGGCTGAATCATAATAAGCAATGACCTGTGCATCGTAAGCAAGAAACGTAATTGCAGTTGCAGTCACTTCGTAAACCTCACACTACTGTACACTACACTAGGGTATCATGAAGCATACATGCACCAGCATACATATAGTGGTGATGGTATATTACCCATTAGTTCTGCTTCAATTTCTAGACAGCACTTTAAGGTATCCGGGAGTGAGGATAATGTGGATGAGGGAGTCCTAGACACACACACACACACACACACACACACACACACAGATAAATAAAGTCCAGAAGAAACTATAAATCAATAAACAGAAATAAAATATAAACAGATAGAGAATAAGCTGCAGTGCCCCAACAACATATACACATACCATACACTAAAATTAGAGAAAGATCTGGGGACCTCAGCCTCTCAACTAATACCTCCTTGAGAAACTGTCTACCTGATTAAAACCAACTCTTTAATAAGGACTAAAAGTTCTACAATAAAAATATCATTAGCAACAACACTGATTTATTTTGTGAATGATGAGAAATCAATTCATAATTTTCTTTTACTTGTAACTGTCTGAAGCGTAAAAAGTGACCACGGAAAGATTTCACCCAGAAGCACATCACACATTCATTCTTAAATTATTCTATCACATAAGAACACACATGACTATCCTTCCACCTCACAGTACCAAACCTAACCTAACCTCCCTCTCCTTTACTCGGCTCTGATCTGCTTAATAATCTGTTATGTATTCCGAGATATTTACACTACCACAGATTAAGGTTTTATCCGAATAAACTAAATACTAATACTGTAGTCTTTCAAGTAACTTTCCCAACACGTGAATCACATCTGAGTTCTTCCAGTGTAACATGAAATTCTCTGAGAGATATAAGCGTTTCAACAGCAGAAGGAGTGATAAGAGGTGAATGGAGTTATGTTTATAAAGGCAGCAGGAGAAGATAATCTAGTGAAGAGTAGTACAGTAGTTCATAAATGTAATGAAAGTGGGGATATGTATCACCAGAAATCAACTGTGAGGTGTCCGAGTACGGTCTGGCAAGTAAGCTTTGAAACGTGTGTAGGAATTGTTAGAAAAAACCCACAAAAATTACAGGATTATCTTATATCTGCACATTACTCAATAAAAGCAATACAATATTTTCATTATACAAAACATAGTGACCCCTAGCTGAGATTATAATAGTACTCTTTATATACAACCCATCAACTTAAACTGGCTTAATTCATTATATCAATAATTTCAACATCATCTTAAGCACCAAAACACCATGTGGTATCCCTCTTCCATGATATAATCCAAGGATCATTTTTTTACAACTAGCCTACACCATCCTATCCTTAACTACACATTCTTGATGGCTTCCCAGGTTTTGGCAAATCAACAAAAATATTCTTCACTATTTTCTTTACCTAATACTCCATCAAAATAACATCCAATAATCTAATATATATATCTCTACTTTACAAACTCATTTTCTATACATTTTCTGAAGGTTCCCCCAAGTTCTCATGCATTACAGAGATACAACTTCTCCATTTTCCTTTCTGGAGGTTGGTTTTATCACCACAGAGCAAGTAGAGATGATTTATTTATCTGTATAACCCAGCAAACACACACATATAAATCTGCACAAGAGTTCAGCAGTGTCTTGAAATCAGAGCCAAAGAGAGAGAGAGTGAGAGCATTACAGTAGGTTAACTGCAATAGGCAAGATACTACAAACCTGGGAGATGTGTGCGTTTAGGCAGGAACATCAACTGGTGCACTGTGAACAACTCATGTGGTTTAGAGATGATTTGATGGTGAAAGGCCCTGCAAGATGACTCAGCCTTTGTGATGGTGGCTGTAGGTAAACTCATACAAGAGGAAGAGTTTATTTAGTGTCAAGGTGATTAGCTACTCTTCAATGGTCCTGAAAACAATGATTATTAGAAGCATCTGTAAGGCAACAGGGTCAGGATTATTTCGTTAATTATTCGCGATGCTAATTTCTTGCTTTTCCGGCGAAGGTTATCCCGGGAAGAGACTGTAAGAGAACACAAAAGGGTGACTGACAGCATGAGAATGGCTGGAAAACACCTGTAATATAAAAGTTTAGTACAGTAATTTACAGCACTGATATCTTATGATACACCTTACCCAATACCAAACCTTGATAAGTGCTGTGCTGCTACCCCCCCCGACTCCTTTGTACTGATAGACGAGGCAAACACAGCAGTTGTACAAAACTTACTTCATTCTGGTACACACAAACCACCTCACTGCCACACACGACCCACCTCACTGCCACACATGGCCCACCTCACTGCCACACACGACCCACCTCACTGCCACACACGGCCCACCTCACTGCCACACGACCCACCTCACTGCCACACGACCCACCTCACTGACCCACCACTGCACACATGACCCACCTCACTGCACATGACCCACCTCACTGCCCCACCACTGCTACACACACATGGCCCACCTCACTGCCACATCACGGCACACACATGACCCACCACTGCACACATGACCCACCTCACTGCTACACATGACCCACCACTGCCACACATGCACCTGACCACACTGCCACACACATGACCCACCCACCCCACTGACCCACCCACTGCACACATGACCCACCTCACTGCATCACCCACACTGGACCCACCCTCACTGCCACACATGACCCACACTGACACACACACATGAGCCTGCCACACATGACCCACCACTGCACACATGACTGCCACACATGACCCCACTGCCACACATGACCCACCCCACTGCCACACATGACCCACCTCACTGCTACACATGACCCATACACATCACCCACCTCACTGCTACACATCACCCACCTCACTGCTACACATCACCCACCTCACTGGTACACCACGCGACCATCGGATAGTTGCTACACATGCCCCAGTCTCTCTGTCTCTACACACCTTAAGCGCCTGCAGCTGAGAGAGCGTCAGGTCCTTGATGGGGATCTCGAGAAGGTCCGTCTTGTCCTGTTCCTTCTTGCGCTTGAGGGCGATACAGGCATGGAAGTCGTGGTAGATAACAGGCACCAGGTCCTTGCTCAGCTGAACGTCAAACTCCACCATATCCGCTCCCTTCTCTGCCGCGTACTTGAGGGAAGCGACGGTGTTTTCTCTGATATTCGCGCAGCTACAGAAAGAAAGAGGATCATCGTTTTGTCGCCGATATTAAAAATAAATAAATAAATAACTTCCGTAATTTTTATTTGCCAAGGCTCCCAGTAATGCCTGAACGATGCAGCTGCCACCTCCGAGATGTGAGAAGAGTCGGTACAGAGTTACTAGGCAAGGACCCCAAGGCAACGTAGCACAAATGGAACATCACGGACTACAGGGTCGTCAAAAAGAGAATACAGTACTCTGATTTCATTATTATAGACCATTTAATACGTTACACAGGTATTCTTTTACCATGGTATATATTGTATAACATACCCCTCTCAACCTGGGATACATGACACATATACAAGGTCTCCAAAATTGTACACATACTATGAATTAAAATTATTAACAAAAAAATACGTTTATTAACACAGTAGTATATAAAATATACATAATTGATCATGAATTGTTTTTCATAATAGTGTACACAAGTTTTTGAGAGAAATAGTACAGTAATGAAAAAAATAAATAAATAAATGCATAATAAATAAATCAATCATCAATATTACCTCTTTGGCTCTGAATGGTAAGAGTTGCCAGCACCACGATGACCAACCTCCAGTCCCTTCCAGCTGTCCTTCCAGTGGCGTGCGTAAGACACACTCATGTCCCCTCCGTACTCCAGAGGGTTAACCACCATGTAGTGAACTGTTGGAGAAACATGTACTGTACTCATTCCATACTCCAATATTAAACTTGAGTTGGACACATTTTTAGCACATAGATGACAGCCATTATCTGTGCAAGTTTTATGTTCCCTGTGTTAGACTTTTGGCACACATGGAGGTCTTGGTTGTTGGTTATGGGGATGTTGACCTAACTTTTCCATCAAGCAGAAGTCTCCCTTAATCTATTTACCTTCTAACACAACCTTTTACCCTACAGTACTTAACAGTTAAAATATCTAAGTATTCTAGTACAGTAGAGTACAGGTGAAAATAAATGTTGAGTCTATAATTTACACATTCTTGAGTCTACAATAGCACAGTGTAACTACCTGTCAGCTGTCCGACTGGGATGTGCTTTGGGGAGGTGATGGGAAGTGTTGCAACACCATAGTTCTCCTTCAAGTTCGAGGGCAATATATAGGAACATCCCAGGTGCTTGGGGATCTCCTCACTGGATCCCTCAATGTAGAAGTCAAGCAGGAAAACCTATCAAAGATGAAGCATGATGAAGCCTGAGTGATACACTGGGTGAGGCTTCGGGAAGGAATAAACATGAATTCAGGTAAAGCTCATCAATATATTGTTGCATAAATACATAACTCATGAAGTTTTTATCATTATTTTTACTTCAAATTCTTTCAACTTGATGAGATTTAGCTGACAGGCTCAATTAAGACAATATACAATGAGTCCTCTTGTACCTGAAATTCTTATATCAAGAGCATCCAAATCATATTTGGCATTTTTTCCAATTAACTCTTGGAAAAAAAAAATACATATAGATCAAACACTTGGACTCAGAATAACATATACAGTACATATTATAAATTCTTCAAGGACTTCCTCCACAGCCTCAGCCAACAGGAACGTCGCATCAGGTACCAACCTTTAGCCACACTCAGATCAGCCAAAGATCTCTTAACCACCGCTGTAATGTAGTTAGGTTGTCATACATCATATCTTCTGAGGCGCCATCATTGCTATCCTCACACTGTCACTTATTGCCATCTCCTCTAAGAAGACACCTTTCATGGAAGACATATCACACTGCCAACTCACATCTGGGTTAGGCTAGCAAGCACCCCAGAGAACTGACACACACTAAGTAGTACTACTGTACTTGTTTATATATTACATCTTAATAACTTTCTTTGAGAGGAGAATATTCCATCTTCACAGTGGCAGCAACACTTTCACAACATAAAAGACTTGGTCATTGACACAGCCTTCCACTCAAATATTTGCGCTACCATAAGAGAAATGCCATGACTTCTTCATCCACAAAGAATTAAACTAGAAATGAAGTTGTTGCCATGGATGATCCTTCTGAACGTGTTGCGTAAGAAGAGGTCATAACCGTAACGCATCTAATTGGTCTAGTGAGGTGTACCCGTATGCCAATGGCACTCACTCATTACTCTCTATAGTCATATATTCAACTGAAATTATCATCAAAATATCTCCATATAAAAGTTATGTTCTAGACAAAGTTTTGACCTTCAGCAGATATAATAACCTTTGACATTTGGTGTTATGCACAAGTTTTGGCATCTGACCCTGACTTGTGATATTTCATAATCTGTCTGGTACTGTATCCCCAACAACTATTGTTACTGATGCCACACTCTAATGCTTTATAGTAAAGAATAAATATTGTGAAAATAATAAACGTAATATCAAAAGTAAGTTTCGTTACCACATGTTTTAAAGACGGGGGATAAATTCAGTTTCCTTCATGGATGTAAAACTATTCTCTGGGAGGGAACAACCACACCACACAACGGTGACAAGCAACAGTAACCCTCCTGCTGCACTGACTATTTCTCAGAGTCAAACCGTGTTAGGATAAGTCCCGGGATATATTCTTCCCTCCCCCATGATTTCCACAACTTGTTGAGGTCAGATATGGCATTCCACCTTCGCTGCCAGACATCATAGATAGCGGATTTGAGGTCTGGAATCAAGCCCCTGAAAGGTAAGAGATGACTCGAGTATAGTGGATGGCACGTGGCTGCTCGGTCTGCCTGTTCATTCCCCTCAACATTTACAAGGCTGGAACTTAATATACAAAGACGAGCTGGAGGAACCGTAGAGGAAAACAACTTTGACGGATGAAGATAGTATATGCACAAGGACACGGTGGATGCAATGAACTAAACCTTCAGTACAGGAGAAGACAGTGCGGCTGGCAGTGCCTTCATTTCTCTAACTATAAAGTTAGGTACCCATTTATACCTGGGGAGGACTATTGTACCCTGGGTGTGAACCAAAGAGAAGGTGATCATTGTATTAATCATATCATAAAAGGTTTAGAGTGGTCTCTTTAGTGGCACTGTTCCTAGGAAACATGCTAACTGCTACCATGAAGTGGATAATACACCAGTACACTATGTATATGCTTCTCTCAAAGACAAACACAAAACACAAATAAACAATCTTAATGAGCCAATGAACCAAAGTCATATTACGCCTAGAAAGGAAATTTTGTTGTAAAAATTCATCTGCAGGTGCTTGCCAAATGCCATCTTCAGGGCAGAAGGATAAAAGGATGGGTGAGGGTTGGGTTAGGAGTCATTTTGGGCACGAGGTCAAGACACGTCATCATGACCTATAGAGATCTTGATGTACTAAGTTTGGAATCATCAGCTCAGGGCCTCTTGTTTTATCAGCACAATCTCTGAAAGAGGAAATAATTCAAAATGAAATACAATGATACATTAAAGCTCTCTATTTATCGTCTGATTCCTCCAGATGCTGACACACACACACTCAAGTCAAATTTTTTTTACAACCCACATCCTTTGTAAGGCAGAGCTAACGAGGGAAAATAATACAGAAATAGCAATAACATACAATATATATATATATATATATATATATATATATATATATATATATATATATATATATATATATATATATATATATATATATATATATATATATATATATATATATATATATATATATATACATACATATACACAGCTCCTCCCCGACTTACGACCACCTGGACATACGACTGCTTCAGTCGTACCAAAATTTTGTCAAATTACGTATTTTCAAATCCCAACGTCAGTGATTGCGCAGTGTACTGAGAAATAAAAGAGAGACCCGTTTTAGGTTTTCTATGTACGTATTATTTAAGCATTTTCGACTTACGACCTGGATTAGGGTCTCTAACCCCGCCGTAAGTCGGGGAGGAGCTGTATGTATACAGGTACTCCCCAACTTACGACCGACTCGACCTACGTCCATCCGCAGTTACGACCTGCTCTGACAGTAACGACTGTCCGCACATACAACCGCGCAGTCGGGACCAAATTTTTTTTCAATTGACGCGTGCATTTTCTATACCGAAACATTTCCGTCCTGGACGAGAGCGTGGCTTGGGTCACCGCGTGGGTACAGCTCCCACTCAGTAGGGCGCTTAGTTGGTGTTTGGCTATCGTATCCAATACTGATCGCGCTGTGTACTTACGTTATCGTATTTAATTGACTTTATAATGACTGGAAAGCGTACAAGTGAGTGCTGGTGGTGCTCAGAAGAAAAGGAGACAAGCAATTACTTTTGAGATGAATATGAAGATAATAATGCAGTATAAGAATGGAAAAACTGTAGCAACAATTTCACGCGACCTAGGCTTCTCACACTTGACCATATCCACTATTTTGAAGGACAAGGAACGTATTCGTGATGTAGTGAAAGGAACAACACCTATAAAGGGAACTATAATTACTAAGAAAAGGCAAGGTCCTATTCACGATATGGAAAAATTATTGGCGATATGGATAGAAGACCAAATACAGAAGCGTGTACCCTTAAGCCTTCTAACCTTACAGGCTACGCAAGAAGCCTGTTCCAAAGCCTGAAGGAGCAGGCAGATGAGTGCGACCAAACCTTCACAGCAAGTCATGGGTGGTTTAACAGATTTAAGAAACACTACAGTTTACATAATGTTAAGGTGAGTGGAAAGGCAGCTAGTGCTGATGTTGGTGCTGCCGAAGCTTTTGAGGAGGAGCTAGATCGTGTGATTGTGGAAGGAAATTATTTGCCTGAGCAAATATTCAATGTGGATGAAACTGGATTATTGTGGAAGTGCACGCCTGAGCGGACATACATCCACAAAGAGGAGAAAACAATGCCAGGATTCAAGGTAGGACAGAATTACACTTCAGTTGGGGGGGAATGTTGCTGGTTTCAAGAACAAACCCTTCATGATCTATCATTCAGAGAACCCCAGAGCTTTTAAACATGTCAGCAAGCACACACTGCCATTGTTTTATCACAGTAACAAAAGCTTGGATGACCATTGTATTGTTTGAGGATTGGTTCATGAATTGTTTCATTCCTCGAGCCAAGGAGTATTGTCTGCAACAATGGATTCCATTTAGGATTTTGATGATTTTGGATAATGCTCCGGGACACCCACCACACCTGGACAACATGCACCCTGATGTTAAGGTAGTGTACATTCCACCTAACACCCAACCCATAGATCAAGGTGCTATTGTTACCTGTAAAGCAAACTACTATTTATTTCTGAGAATATGGAAATGTAATATTTTGCTGACGCATTTGTTAGAAAGTGACGAAAGATTGCTTTCGTTAAAGATGTTACGGCTTCAAAGTTAAAACCGTATTACAATAATATTCTATCCTAATTCACTTGTAACTCCCCAACAACACAATTGGTTGCATTTATAAAGTTCATAAGGAAGGTAATATATATTTTACTTAGGCCAGACAGGTAAGATCTCAACTGGAATTAAAAACACAAATACAGTGTTAGGACAGGCCAGGAATCAATGCTCTGTTTGTTCTTTGAAGGATATAAGCATTGCATTGATTTCAGGATAATGCCTCCTCAATATTACCTTGTAATTCAATTGATGGTAGGAACATCATAGAATCTAGTCTTATTAAACATACCGAAGCATTCAACATGAATTTGAGTAATGGCATGTACAAACTGGACAATTTTGTAATTAAGAAGAATTTGTAACCAGGTGAGGAAAGGTCATGTCTTACCATCTGACCTGACCACAACTATTGTCAGTACTATTTAAAATTAATAGGTCATTACCTAATACCTGACCATTGTGGACCTGGACTCACCTCTCTTATATATACACCTTGATTTGTATTTCTCTTTTAGTCTGTACTCACCCCTGAAGATGAATATACAATAACTTAGGAACTTCGTGTTTTCTTCTTTCCTTGTGGTTATCAGCATATACCTAGATCCTGCTTTGATTTACTTGATATATATATATATATATATATATATATATATATATATATATATATATATATATATATATATATATATATATATATATATGTACACATATATATATAAATATATATATATATATATATATATATATATATATATATATATATGTACAGTCGGCCCTTTCATACGCTGGTTTTAGCATTCACGGATTCGCAAATCATGGATTGCCTCAGAGAATATTCTGTACATTGAAGTAATTGAAGTACATTTCAAATCGCGCCATTCAACTACACGAACTTCTTGAGACACCACCGCTCCAACCTCACACACACACACACACACAGCATAGCTCTCCCTCACTCCAGTCAGTCTCGCTGTAACCACACTTGTGTTGACATCAACAATGTAGTTGCAAAATATTACATTTCCGTGAATGTATTATATCAAGCACAGAATGAATGAGATATACTAATATAAGAGTATTTTAACCGAAAACTACTGAAAAAACGAGTAGCATATCTTGAACATAGGAAGGTTAGGTAAAGACTCTTGTTTTTTCATGTAACAAATTTTTCTAATTTACATTGAAATACATCGTTTCGCAAAAGTGCTATTTATTTTGAGAATATGGAAATGTAATATTTACTGAAATGACGTTCGTATTACAGTGGAAAGTAGCGAAAGCAATGACTCGCTTTCTTCGCTCAAAAGATGTTACGTAATCGCTTTTCGAATGGTTTTCAGTTAAAAACTGTTTTTATTACAATTAATATTCTATCCTAATTCACTTGTGATGCAACAGATTTTTAACTGAAAACCATTCGAAAAGCTGGCTATCTTGAACGAAAGCGAAATCGTTTTTTCGTCGTGACTTCATTTCCACTTGTAATACTTAGTCATTTCAGCAAATATTTCATTTTTGTGAATGTGGTATATAAGCACAGTATGAATATAATATCATTTAATATAACTAGTATTTTAACGAAAACTAATTAAAAGACAAGTAACATCTCTTGAACATTTGGGAAGGTTATATGAAGTCTTTTGTTTTTGCGTCATGTATTTTATCTATTTTACGTTGAAATACATCACGTTTCATTCAAAATTACTATTTATTTCAAGAATATATTCATTTCAGGCGCAGTTTAGGTAAAATATATCGTGTGATGTAACATTTTTATTAATTGAAAACGGTTCGAAAAACACGTACCCTCTAGCCTTGTTCAAGAGGGACTGGGGCTTGTTTGGTGCTGCAGACGATGGCAAGGGAAAATTTGATGGATTTATTGAAAATATTCAGAAATATGGTATCGTAGACATTTGTTCAAGTCAATTAGGATAAAATATTAAGTTAATACAACAGTAGTGACGTACTTAGAGGAGGCGGGAGGGATGTCGAGGCAGGAAGAGGTGACTGGCGGGGAGCAGGGACAGTGGAATGCTAGCCAGTATTACTGGTGTATTAATTGTTTTTATGCTATTTTTTGCATTTTAATGTTAAATACTGTACATTACGTTTCAACAAAACATCATTTATTTCTGAGATGGAAATGTAATATTTTTCTGAAATGATAAAAAGTATTACAGTGGAAGTGACGAAAACAGCTTTCGCTTTTTTCGTTCAACAGTGTTACCTGCAATCGCTTTTGTGGTTTGTTTTGGATTATAAGGCTATGATAGGATAGAATATTATTGTTAATACGGTACGGTACAACGGTTTTTGGAAACCATTCGAAAGCGATTGCGGTGGAAATATTGAACAACGAAAGCGAAAGTCACTAAATCATGATTTTATCCCTTCACTATAATATGTTGCGTCATTTCCAGCAAAAATGTTATTCCGGGAATATATTCATTTCCAGTCAAGTTATAAAAATATACTTGTGATGTAATATTTTAATGAAATCCAGTATCTGGTTTTCTCTTGTTTAAATTTAATTTAAAGATTGTGTTTCCTTCTAATGAACAAAATTTATGTCCAGTATCTATAAATGCTTTAATAATGAATACTTTGTTTACATCGTCCTGTTGCTTCACCATCCATGGTTATTTCACCCCAGGGCTCGCAGAGATCTGCACAT